TTTTTTTTTTTTTTTTTTTTTTTTTTTTTGGCGTGGATTAAAAAGATGCTGTGCTTTTTTTCTTTCTTCTTTTTTGAAGAAAGGGGGAGAAGGTGGACAGAAAGCCAGAACTCACTTGTACTGAGCCACCAAACTTTCCCTGACCAGCTCAAAGCGCCGGCCGTGGCGGCCAAAGTGTGTTAACATTCGGGTCTTCTGCAACTTGACAACCCCGGAGTCCTACGGGCGCCTTCTTTGCTGGGAGGCAACCGAAGCACCGACACAACCCCCCGATCTCATAAACAAGCACAGAGGCCATGTGAGGTGAAGGCGGAATACTGAGGAGACGCAGCAAGGCGCAAGGTGCAAATTTACCCCCCAGCAGCTCTGTCCTGTCTGTTTGGAAGCTGCACTTCTATGTAATCTGAGCAGCCAGTTCACCCCGCCGAAACAAACACGCATACAAACAACCCCCCTCACCCCTCTCATGATTACAAAAAAAGGACCCTTACCTTGCTTGGTTGGACCCCAATACAGCGAAAGAAGACAGGACAGCCAAATTATACTCTCCACCGCCATGTACAGCCTTTGATTTCCACCAGCGGGGTAGAAGCGTGCGCCTGTATACAATCACATACACCGTAGTTTCAAGCCCTCACGGCGACATGCACACGCTGGAATCCGTTATTGTCCACGGCGGTGCGTAACGGAGTCTCTGTGTTGGTTTGGGTCTCTGTCGGGCAGCTGTCCCCGGGCTTTCCGCGCAGAACCACCGCATTAGTCGGGGCAGAGCTATCGTGTCTCTCGGCGCTTCAACGCCATGTTGCGAGCGAATGTTAAGCGTGTGTGTGTGTGCATGTGTGTGTGCTGCTTTTCTATCCTCATACCACACACATACACGCTTGGCCGCACACGTGCACACGTATCCCCTCACGCACGCGCCCGTTTACCAGACAGTGGCTGGCTGGTAGTCCGCTGGAGCACAGAGAAGCTGTTGGTGACACAAACACGCACACGCAAACACGCACACACACGCATACACGCCTTTCCCTTTTTGTTGGACTCCATGCTTTCCTCTCGCCCTTGGGGGACCCGTTCGTAGCAGACACGCTGCCGGCTAGAAATGCACTTGGAAATTTGTTACAACAAATGCATCTCAGCCCCACGGCTGCCCGCAGTGGGGATGATGGGAAGGGGGTCATATAGTACAAGGATTCTGCATGTGCTGGAGCAAAATAAAGAGTCGAGAACGGTCCGGATGGGTGTCTGTGAAGACTACTAATGCGTTGCCCCCCAAAGAACCCAGTGTAGTGGGATGTGCGGTAGCGATGTTTAGGAGCTCTGAACAAGAAGCTGCACAAAACGTGAGAGCAATTTATTTAGATAACCACACATTCATTCTTAAAAGCTTTTTTGTAGCATTGTTGTGTGAAAGCATGCACCTTTGTTAGTAAAGGAGATCAGGGTTTTAAGTAAAAGGGGGGAGCAGGGGCAGGAGGGGCTCATGTGCTCCCTGAGTTTTTATAAAAAGAGGTGGGCTGGTGAAGGGGAGGGCTTCTTCTGCATCCCAATCAATCAACCAGCTGCTGCACCCACCACTGCTCCATGTGCTGAGGGACCCACTGACTTTTGCATGTAAACACATAACAGAAGCCAGCTGGAGCCGAGCCTACCCAGTGCAGACAAAGACTCGCCTCCTGCAGCGCCCTCAGCATCACTGATACCAGCACCATCCCCAACACTCACCAGCACTAGCAGCCAGGATGAACGCGGAGCTTTACTGAAGTTCCAGACCTTATGACAAGACATTCTAGCAGAAATAACTCCCCAAGATAAAAGGAAAGTCTTGTGCTGATTTTTTTTTTATTCCACAACTTTAACATGTGCTATTAAATAAGTGTTGTTTTACTATTCTGGCTATAAATTCTTATGTTGCCTGACACAAAAAGAATCAGTGAAACAAAACCAGCCTAAGATGAAATTGTTCCTTCTGGTAATAGCATATCATGTTACCAGATTTCCCGCCTCGCTGTATTCACTGATGCAGGATTGATTGGTGCTGATGAAATGGGATGGATGCAGCTCCCAGGTGTCTGATTAAAAACAAATGTCTGGGGTGTTGGATCATGAGATTGAGCCAGATAGAATTACTGTGTCCTCTGCAATTGTTGTTCAGCTCTAATTTTACTGTTTATCCGTCTTCCTCTGCTGGTGAAAAACACTGAATCCAAAATTTTGACTGTTGCCTCCACCTGATACCCCGTGGATTCAAGTTCAGTATGCAATTTGCACCTATGCAGAGGAGGAGATATTTTTTTTTTTTACTGCAGCACTAATGGCAAAGACAAACACAAGAAGAAAGCTTGCTTCTCAGTAATGTTTCTGAAAGCGAATATGCAGCTGCAACATTTAAAGCTCTATCCTTAATTTGTTTCCCCAAGTGTCCTCGCTTACAGTGCTTTGAAACTTTTTTGCACATTTTGTCACTCGCTAACCACAAACCTCAAGGTGCAATTTACTGGGGATTGAATATGACAGACTAAGACAAAGTAGCACATAATCGCAAACAACTCAGGTCGGACAATCTGTCAACATGACTCCACTTAGTGGCGCACACCACAAACCTGCCCTTTCAAGACGAGTGGTAATCATTGTTGAAAGCAAGCCAAGAGAGTATTTTTGAATGAAAGGGACAAAATAAAACAAAGTTGAAGTATTTCGAGTGCACACAAAAAGCTGTTGATGCTAGAAAGGGTTAACCCAGCACCATCAGTCACACCATCAGTCAGAGTTGATGAAAAGATTAATGGAGTTATGCAGAATTGTGCAAGGAAACCTGTGTAACTTTTACAAGAATTGAACCTGGACAGCAAGACAGCAACCCTAAATGTAATCACTGCAGCTACATTTGTGAAAGCATATCGTTGTGCTAAAATTGTGCAGACAAACTACAGATACACATCCAACTGAAAGATTTATAGATAAAACATCACTGCTCACAGATGCTCCCCATCTAATTTGACCTCGCATAAATTATTCTGCAAAAGATGACTGGCAAAACGTTCAACTTCTGGATGTGTACAGCCGGTAGAGACAAACCCCAAAAGATTTGCTGTTGTGTTATGCAGTCACAACAGAGGATTCTACAAAGCATTGACTCAGGGTTGAAAGCATATTCATCATGTCTCACCTTTTGTAGTAATTACATAACAGAAAACTTGTGTCCTTAAGGCTTAAGCTGTTTTGTACATAAAGGGTAAAACCTTCAATCTTTAGATGTGCAAAGCTGGTAGAGGCATAACTCAAAAGAGAAATCATAGCAAAATGATAGTTTGGTCATTTTTGCTACAATGTTTGATTCATCTACAAATAGGGAGGTTTTCTGTGAATAATTTGGAGCTGCCATCAATAGAATAAAAAGTTTGTAGATAATTGAATCAGAGAGGTCTGCTGTACTCCTAAAAACTAACATCTGCATATGCAGTTAAAGATCATTTTGTTGAGGTTTACAGTTTTTGTTTTTTTAGATTCTTATTTGTAACAAAAGTCGCAAACATTTTCAGACATTTCAGTTTACACCAGATCTAAAGATCTACTGCCGACATCTCAGGACCAAACACCTCAGTGATCCACTGGAGAATCGGATGGATTTGTGGGTCTGCTCAGCATACAGACACAAAACTTATGATTTACACACCAAACTCAAGATTCAATCAAGCTATGACTCAAGTCCAAAATAAATGAATTAAAATGTAATTAGTGGTGACTATTAAAATCCAAATGAATCTACTACTACGACTTCTACATGAGCTTAGAGTCTAACACTGATTAACGCCAGTAAAATCCTTTAAATTAGTAACTTCAGCAGGATAAAACAAAGGTTAATGATACAGCTAATGGTGATATTGATTCTGTTTTCTTTCTACATTAGTTGCCTGATTATCATCCCCTTGTGTGCTTTTATCTGTTGCATTACTCAGAATAACTGCAAAATATAAACTCAGTGATTTAACACACTTCCTTTAAGAACTTTATTCCTGCAGGAATTACATCTTCTGCATGAGATTGGGCTGTCAGTTATATTAGTAGCCTAATAATATTTTCTTGTCTTTCAATATATGATGCCTTTCAATATATGATGCCTTGAAATAAATATTTTTACAAGGAGTTTTCTCCCTGAAAACTCCTTGAATTTTCTCATATTTTATCCTGTTACTACTACAAACATACATGTGTTTTACTTGAATTTTTTTGTGAAATGCCATAATGCAGTAATCCAACAAATTAAAGTGGAAGTGAAACAAAACATGGCTGAGGAATTTCTTTCAGGCTTGGCAAGGAGTGCGCTGTCAGAGGAGCTGCCATGAATTGACAGTAGAAGAGCTCCACAGCTCGGGGCAGGGGGAGAATCCGTTGCCACAATAACTTTTAGTCGCGCGCTCCACAAATCTGGCTTGATATGCAGCCGTGGCAAGGAGGAAGTCATGCTTCAAAGAAAAATGATCCCTTTCATGCATGAATTATGATCCTTTTTAATTTCATTTTTTTTAAAGGTGATCAATTGTAATTTTCTCCAAATACAAAGTTTTTATTTTAAAAATACATCCCTAGTATTGTTCTTTAGGGGTTATGATTTTTTTTTTTTTACCTGCAAGAGTCGTCTACAGTATAAGGAGGGACTAGGCTGGCTGGCATGCTTTTTTGTCTGTCGGCCATAAATAATTTCTTGCATTTGCAGCTGATGGCCAGTAATTGATGATGTATTTTATGATGCATTAGTGTCCACTTCAGTGGTCAGCATGCATTTATAACATAAAAATCCACAAGAAGTACAAGAAAATGGCTTTTAGATAGCTGTCCACTGTAGTGACCACTATACATGAAACGGTTAAACAAAGTCTTGTTGGCAGTTTCTTGCCAAACGAGGTGGTGGAAAATTAACATTGCATATCGCACTGAAAAAAATGACCTTTTCCCTCAATGAAATGTGTTCCCCATGATGAAATATGTCCATGTGACGATGGATGGAGCTAAAACCATGGTAATCCCACAAGAAAACAACTTGAGCAGGACAATGACCCCAAACATGCAGCCACAGCTGTAACAGAATGGTTTAGATAAGGGGTCTGCAACCTTTACAATCCAAAGAGCCATTTTTGCCCTCAGGAGAACTAAAAATGGATACATTTACCTCTGTCCAATTTTGATACTTGTGGAATATGCAGTAAAGAGAAAAAGCACAATTTTCAAGTAGTCATGTAAGTTTAAAACATAAGGACTTTTTTGAGATTCTGTTGTGGAAATTAAATGCAGTTAAGAAAAAAGCAAAACTGATAAATCTGTCATGTTTAGGTGAGTGATCCGCATGTGTATATTCTCTTAAAAGATAGTTTTAAAAGGTTTATTAAAGAGCAGTAGCTGCGTTTCCATTACAAATGTCCGCAAATCTCTGTCCATTTTCTACTGATGTCAAAAAAAATGCAATTTCATATGTGATGTTTCCATTAAATTAATGAAATTAACATCACACATGAATAAGCTTGTTTACACGATAAATGATTAAAAATCATTGAAGCAACATATGTAAATATAAACATGATGTATGTTTTCTTATCTCAGTCATGGAACTAGCGCTCATCATCCATCAGCGGACATGTCGGCATCTTATTCAGGTGTCGCAACGATAAGACCATTTTACTTGGGAGCGGCTAAGAATGCAGCATTTGGGGGAAATTGTAGTGGCGGATTTCACAGGTTTTATCACAAGGTTCAACTGACTGACAGCCAGCTCGTCAAATACACCAACCGATGATTACATGCAAGTGTGCAGAAGCAAACTCAGGCACTGTACCCTGACAAAACATGCATTTGTTATTATATTTATATTTAAAAATCATTAGCAAATTTATTAAGACCATTTGTAGAAGGTCCATAGAGCCACTTACGACTCCACGTTGATGCATATTTACGGCTTTGAAAGTATCCATTCAAAATTCATACCTAAATCAAATTTGGAATCTATGAAAAGTATTGAAAATACTTATTTACAAAAGATCATTGTCAAATCTGATTGACCTTGAGTTATTTCTCAAAAGAGATTTGTCATAAATTTCACTTTCTACATATGCAGACCTGGCAGAGACCCACACAAAAAGGTGGTTCAACAAATCATTACCTCATTGCTAAATGCTAGTCTCTCTTCTGAAACTGTTACTTGTAGTAAACAATAAAAAAATCTCCCATTCTTTTTTTCACTTCACA